CACATATAGACTGGACCTTTGGCTATAGAATTGAAGGCTGGTAGCTCAGGTTGTTCAGATGGCTGTTGAACTGTTCGCTGAGCTTGGCAATTTTGTTGCAAACGTTTCGTCACCAATCGAGGTGACATCATCAGTGCGTAGTGGAGTGGCGTGCAATAGCGTAGAGTAGCGTAGAGGAGCCTCGGTGAGAGTGCGCTGAGCGTGGCGTGCGTGCGTTTTTATACCGTCGTGGTTGGCCGCGGATCCGAGCAATCCTATTAGTTGGGACTTCGATCCGTGTTCAGCTTGCTTAATGGGCAGATGACCTTGACCTCAACTCCTTTGTCCGCTTGCTCATGCGAGCTAGTCTGCCGCCAGTTCGGGTTGTCTATACCATTTCCCAGCCAAGTTGTCCTCTCGGGCAACAGAAATAATCTGAGGGGCATTCAACATGAGCCTATTCAATTAATTTGTTCCGTGCGTACGCCAGTCACTTGTGCAGGTGTGTAGGTGTGCGTGTATAGCCCTTTGCCTTCAGCTAATTGGACCTCAGACGCACTAAGTCATAGGGGTGCAGGTGGGACGCTTCGGCTCCTACGCACGGAACAAAGTAATTGAGTAGACTCATGTTGATTGCCCCTCAGATTATTTTTGTTGCCCAAGTGGACAAGTTGGCCGGGAAATGGTATAGTCACACGTTCCACCGGATTCAATCGATCGAGTTGTCGGTCCTTCGTCAATAGCGTGGCGTATACTGCGTCAAGTTCGATGTGTCGATTGATTGCATGCGTTGTAGAGTACCAGGCTTCCAAAAATTCCCTCTCGTGTTTTGTACTTCCATGTGCTAGGATCTTTACACTCTCCAGATCGAAATGGTGACCTTCTTGATCTTCATGCGCAGAAACCAATGAGTGTGGATCGTGCCTTCTGACGGCCGCCTTGTGTTCGGTGATTCGTGTACCAAGTTTTCTTCCAGTTTGTCCGACGTAGATTTTATCGCAGTCACCGCATTTTAGCTGGTAGATGACATTGCATTGCTCGGCTTCATTGACTTTTCCTTTGGGTCTTGAGATCAATTTCCTTAGGGTGGCACTTGGCTTGTGAGCCACAGAGATTCCATGTGATAGCAGCAATCTTCCTGTTAGTTCGGAGACGTTCTTGATGTAGGGCAGCACTATCCGTTTGTTTGGTTGATCAGATGATTGCTGCTGTTGCTGAGGCATTCGTTTCAATAAGCTTCTTCGGATGAAACTTCTCGGATAACCGTTGTTTCTAAACACTCGATATAGGTGATGCTCTTCCTGTTTCCGCGATTCGGCTGTGCTGCAGTGCGTTTCCGCTCTCTTGAACAAGGTTTGAATGCAGCTCTTCTTGTGATTCATCGGGTGATTGCTGTAGTAGTTTAATATCTGATCCGTATGCGTTTTCTTCCGATATACGCACGTTTCCATAGATCCATCTGTATTCCTAGTGACCAGTACATCCAAAAATGGTAGCTTGTTATCCTCCTCTAATTCAAGCGAAAATTGCCTTAGTA